GCAAAAAAGAGGAAGACTCTCAATGAGATGGGTTGATGGCTGCAACAATGGACTCAAACATAGAAACAATTGTTAAGGATGGTGCAGAACTGTGCAATATTTTGTTCTGTTGTACACAGGGTCACTGAGTTGTACATAGGGTCACTATGAGTCAGAACCAACTCAATTGCATCTAATAACAACAATGAATTAACTCAGCAATGTTTTTTTGGTATGACAAAAGCCAGCAAAATGTACCTATCTTTTTCTTGATCTTTTTTTTCCTTAGATCATTGATGACAGGAATGAGACTAGCCTTATGAAGGACAGAAATACTTTATATTCCGGCTACCACAATCCAGAATCCACATGGCCACTCCCTCAGCCTGTCTAGTGGACCCTCCTGATAATAGGATAACACGATCCTCTCTTCTAGGGACAATTCTGAGCATTCCAGCTTTGGTGAGCTGGTCAGCCCTTCACAGTCAGCACATGCTTGCCTGCAGGAGACCTTAGAGGCTCAGGCTGTGGGGCAATGTTACAGGGCATCTCTTAAGAGTTATTACAGGGCAACTTTTCCCAAAGTGTATTCCAGAAAACTAGCCCATGGGGATGCCATTCTGCGTTACACTCTAATCAACTCTGCTCTTTTTCCTTATCTCTTACCACCACCAGTTTTTCAGTTTGTTGTGCTGGGGAGGTGTGCATTTTGCTGTGATGCTAGAAGCTATGCCGCTGGTATTTCAAATACCAGCAGGGTCACCCATGGTTGACAGGTTACTGCAGAGCTTCTAGACTAAGACAGAGCAGGAAGAAAGGCCTGGAGACCTCCTTCTGATAATTAGCCAGTGAAAACCCTATGGAAAACAGCGGGACACTGTCTGACACAGTGTTCCAAGATAACCTTCCCAGTTGAAAGGCACTGAAGTTACACAGTGGCTGCAACGATGCACCTGAGTACCTCAACGATCATGAACTGGGCGATGCTTCATTCTGTTACACAGAGGTCACCAGGAGTAGGAGCTGATTCAACTACAACTAACTACACAACAATAATCTTTGCTATTCAAATTCAAGTGTGTTGGCCTGTGGGCACATTGCTTATGTTAGTTATTTTATAAATATGAACAGCAGTAGAGACATATATGGGTATCCAGAAGTGGAGAAAAGTAATGTTGGTGAATGTAGGTGTATTGGGAGAAAATTTGGCTGACTGGGGGCCATTTTTGCAGGTACGTGAGAAATCTGTAGGCTAAAATGTACACAATTTCCAAAGCCATGCCACATGCCAAAGCCATCTCTTGAGTTACTTTAAGGGTATTACTGTTGGCAAAGCCATGCCACATGCTAAAGCCATCTCTTGAGTTACTTTAAGGGTATTAGTGTTGGCCTACCTTTATCAAAGTGGTATGTCAGGTGTCTTCTCCATTGTTACAGGATGACTGCACTGTTGGAAGGGTCTTGCTGGAACAGCACCACTGGAAGAATGAGGAATGATGGGTCTTACCCGCCATCTTGTCTCAGGGCTTGCAGCAGGGAAGGCCGCTCTGGCAGCTGGAGTCAGACTTTTTAACCCGATGAGCAAGTGTTTTGATCTAGAAATAACTCAACATCCCAAACTCCCTCTAGATAAGGATAGGCCCAGTAACTCCAAAAGGGGCTAACAGCCCCTTCTTTTAACTGCTAAGGAACATGTCATTTACCAAGCAAACTTTGAATTTTGTTTTCTACCACTCCAGCTCCTTTATTCTTCACAATGTATACTATAAATGCTCTTAACAATTTTATTGTAGTGAAAATATACACAACCGGCTAGCAGGTTTGCTCATTGTTTCCCAAACACCTCTTCATTCCCCCACCTATGCTTTTCCTTCTTTTTTATCTAGTGTGTCCCCCACCTCTGCCCCACCTGGTTCTACTCTTTCCTCAAAGCTCCTCTTCCTGTGAGTGCTCCTCCAACTTCCTTTGACACACATGTCCACACTACACATTTGACACTTACTACATGCTAAGAAGCCCTGGGGGTACAATGTTAAAAGTGCTTGGCTACTGACCTAAAGGATAGAAGTTCAAACCCACCAGCTGCTCTGAGAGAGGAAAGATCTGGCAATCCTCTCCCGTAAAGATTACTGGTTACTCTCGAATTGATTCTGACTTATAGTGACCCAATAGGACAGAGTAGAACTGCCCTGTAGGATTTCCAAGACTGTAAATCTATATGGAAGCAGACTGCCACATCTTTCTCCCATGGAGTGGCTAGTGGGTTGGAACAGGTGACTCAGCCATGCACTTAACCATTGCACCACAAGGCTCCTTCCATTAAAAATTACAGCTTAGGAAGCTCTACAGGGAAGTTCTGCTCTGTCACATGGAGTTGCTATGTTGTCTGGGACTACCCAGAATTACGTAGGAAACTGAAGCATATGAAATTGACAACATGTAATCATTTTTTGACCTATAAATACTGCAATGTCATATGGGTCTTCTCACTTGAAATACAAATTCTCTTTGAATTCCTAGTATCTACAATGTCCCTTACACTGTGAAAGAAAGCCCTTGACTAATATTAAATTGACAAAAAAAAAAAAAAAGGCAGATGTCATTTCAATCTATAAATGTATGCAATCCACAAAAATGCTCATCATGGATGATTTGGGATGTTTGTGTTTCCCCTTTGCAAAAATATCCTACTACAGCCTAAAATACAAATATCAAACTTTAAGGTACTAGAAGTTATGGCGGGAGCTCTGGTGGCATGGTGCCTAAGGCATTTGACTGCTAACCAGAAGGTTGGTGGTTCAAACCCACCAGCCACTCCTCCGAAGGAAGATGGGCAATCTACTTCTGTAGAGATTTGTTGTTGTTGTTATGTGCCGTCGAGTCAGCCCCGACTCATAGCGACCCCTCCTTGGGTTTCTGAGGCAGCATCACTACGGAAGTAGGATTGCCCAACCTTCCTTCGAGCAGCCCAGAAACCCAAGGAGGGATCACTATGAATCGGAGATGACTCGATGGCATACAACAACAACAGTAGTTATGGGTAGAAGGATTGACCAACTATTGTTGCCGTCTTGCTGTTCTTAGGTGCCATTGAGTCAGCTCTGCCTCATAGCCACCCTACATACAGCAGAATGAAACACTGCCCGGCCATGTGCCATCCTCACAATCCTTGCTGTACTTGAGCCCATCATTGCAGCCACTGGGTCAGTCCTTCTCACTGAGGGGCTTCCCCTTTTTCACTGACCCTCCACTTTGCCAAGCATGACATCCTTCTCCAGGGAATGGTCCCTTCAGACAACATGACAAAAGTAGGTGAGATGAAGTCTGGCCATTCTTGCTTCTAAGGATCCTTCAGCGGCACTTCTTCCAAGACAGATCTGTTTGTTCTACTGGCAGTCCATGGTATTTTCAGTATTCTTCACCAACACCACAATTCAAAGGCATTAACAAGGCATTCTTCTGTCTTCCTTACTGATTGTCCAGCTTTCACATGCATATGAGGTGATTGGAAATACCATGTCAGCTCCCTGTCAATATGCTGCTGCAAAATTTTTAAATTATCTTCAGCAGAATTTTATTTGTGTGTGATAGTAATGATATTGTTTGATAATTTCCACTATTAAAGGGCTTTAATAGATTCTGTATTTCAGAAAGATTACTCACAGAATGTCAGTAAATTCTACACTCAAAGAATATATTTCATATTTATTATATAAGCAGTTACAGGACCCAGTTAGAAAAGAATATTAGAATATTGCACTTTAAATAATTATATTAAACAGATTCCACTATTCTTTTCCCTTATTGTGCTCTTAATTCTAAACATAATTACAGTAATTACCATGTGATTACTGAAAACTCCTAAGTTTGAGGAAAGGAAAATTCAGTGAAAAAGTATGCATTTTTAAAGCTGAAAGACTTGTGAAGTATCTGATATCAAATGTTACTTTCCACAAAAAAAAAAACCCCACACAATCAAAATAGCATGATGATTATTGAACTGAGTTCTCTACTCTAAGGACAGAACACAATGACAACTGTGGAGACACACAGAAAGGGACAGCCTGCTCCTCTGAGGACGTCTATACTGGTGAGCTCAGAATCACTTACAGGACCAAGTCAGCATCTCATCTTCTTGCTGGGATTCTGTGGATGGATCCGTGAAGCACAGATTTCTTTTTCAATGATTCCATTTCTTAGAAAGAGCCCTATTTTTCTCCACTGATGAGTCATGTCTTTAGAACTTAACCCCAAACACACAGGCTCACAGGACTGGGACAAACGTCATCATGTGTCCTACTCTAAGGCCTCCAGACGCTTTCACAGCACAGTTACAAGCAACTGCATTACTTAACATTCAAAGCAGTCGAGTTTCTTCATCTCCATGTGGAAAGTACATCTAAGATGGAAACATTCTAGACTCACTGCATGCACGTTATATGAGCCTTTTATTCGTGAAATATCATCAGCACGTGTCCAGCTAAACATTTGTTTTAGGAAAAAAAATACAATGAGCTTCATATTACTTGATATGAGTTTGCCATTTGTCATTTATAAGTCATTAAAAATAAACTGTACAACTTTGGTTCCTTTTTTTATTTTTCAATCTTGAGATTTACGTAGAACTTTACATTGTGAAGAGCTCTCATGGCATAGTGGTTAAAGCACTCAGCTACTAACCAAAAGGTTGGTAGGTCGATCCCACCAGCTCATCCATGGGAGAAAGATGAGGCAGTTTCCTTTTGTAAAGATTTACAGCCTTGGCAACCCTATGGGGCAGTTCTAGTCTGTCCTATAGGGTCGCTGTGCGTCAGAATTGATTTGATGGCAGTGGGGTTGGTTTCATTTTGGCTTTATCTAAGTTGTAGGGATCTTGACAAATAAGACTTAGTGCCAAAAAATCATCATGGAGGGAGTCCAATTTCGTCCATCAGTAGCTAAGAAGCCCACCTGCAACCCCCAAACCCTTAACAGTCTTAAGATAGTCTTAGAAGGCATTTTAAAAAAGTGAGACTTTCTCTTCAAAGATCTTCTTCCTTTATGGTCCCAAAAACACTGTCATCTTCAGCTACTTTAATAGAAATCTTGCTTTTTCTTGGTAGAAAATTAGAATAATCTTTCCACTGCAAACCAAACACAGAGAGGTCAGAATGTATATGAGCAGAAATAATTTCCATAATGAAAATAACAAAAAAAAAGTTTAGGAAAGTTAAAACAATATTAAAAGGTCACGAGAAAGGTTATATTGTTTGAGTAATGGTTACATTAAGTGGTTTTATACAGCAGAAGCTTTATTTTTGGGTAGGTGTGCATCCGTTGGAGTCCTGGAGTGGTGCTAGCGGTTAGCACACTTGTCTGCTAATCTAAAGACTGAAAGCTCAAGTCCTCACACAGGCACCTCGGAAGAAAGGCCTGGTGACTTATTTCTGAAAAATCAGCCAATGAAAACCATATGGAACCCAGTTCTGCTCTGATGCACACGTGGGGCTGCCATGAGGTGGAATTGA